ATCTCTGCCTGCTGAAGCCCTGAGCCCCTGCGTGCTTCATGGGAAGATGCGCCGCCACCCTGCTCGCATGGAACAGCTGCTGCACCCACACTGCTCTACGGAAGGCAATGTGGCTCCCAGCAGGCCCAGCACATGCCCATACATTGCAACTGCTGAGCGAGCCGATCCCTTCGCTCAAACCAGCCTCCCGACAGTCGGCCAATGACACCAATTCCAACTGGTGTCTGAAAAACTCACAAATCCAAGACTGGCCCCTGCCCGAACCTGGCTGTCAGTTTTGTTACTCCGGCTCTTCCCCTGCACTAGCAGGAAGAGGGACTTTGAACTCCCAGGCTATTTCTCTCTCTAATACCCCAGACACTGCAACGCCGAACAGGCTGGTTTGGGCTAGAGGGGGGAGCAGACGTACAGGGCACAGCTACGTAGCAGACGCCATCTCTGTGCTAGGACTATGCTTTCCGCTGGAAACAGGGAGGAGAATGAAAAAGGAAGCAGAATGGCAGGGGACTTTTGCACCTTAGCAGCTGGTACTGGAGGACCCTGGATTTCTTCTGCACCTAGGACTTCATGGAGTTCCGCCTACAAAAACAAAGAAATTTAGTCTCCTAATTTTGTCCAGAGATGCTCAAAATGGAATTCACACGCATGGGAAGTGAAGCCGCAATTTATAAACTAGAGACAAATTAAGGTGCTGGCTAGTAAGGGACAGGCAGTGGAGCAAGAGTTTGAACACGTAACAAGTATCTCCTCCTACGTAGGATGCGACAGGCACTTACATACAATACCTCATCTCTAAGGAAATGGAATAATCTAGGAGTCAAGACGCTAACTCCAGTATCTACAGATTAGTCCTGGGGCGATTCTGCAATTGCTGCATTTGGAGCTATAGTAAAACTGCAGAAGTCCCCCAGGGTGGACAGGTGGGTGGAACAGTGGGATTCCTGCATGAATATCAGTACAATGGATTTGGATCACCATGCAGCCGTGTGCAAAATTCAGTAGAAAGATCCCTGGCCAGTGATACGCCGAAGTATAAAGCTTCTTGGAGAAAACAAATTCTGTTTCTCCAAGAGGACTTGGAGGGAGCAGGCAGATGAACGGATCACAGATCTAGTCGCCTGTTGCTACTCAGGAATGTTACTGTAGAGACATTCCCCATGTACGAGGCATTGTTTAGAAAACAAGCCGTTTGTGCAACTCTCCCAGCCCGTCACTTAATTCCTTCGTACCATCAGATCATCTTCATCTTCCAGATCTTCTTCCTCTTCCCCATCTTCTTCATCCAGGTCCTTCATGCACAGAGCAGCCATTCTCTCAATAGCTTCCATGGGCAAAGGGGCTGAAGAGAAGAGGCGACAAATGCACAGCTCATTTCTCAACCATTTAAAATCAGAGTTCCATCTAGGGTGCTTGTGGGGGTTGGGGGTGGGTCTTGTTGCTAAGCGAGGCTCTGCCACTTCCCTCTTGCTGTAACCCTGAAATTAAGCTGCTAGAAGTTTACAGTTTGTAATTCTTTTAATCCAGTCCTTCTGGGATGCAGACGTGTCCCAGCGGAGGACATGTATAATGGGCAGGGAGTGGAGGACCACTTACTTTTCCCTTTTGGCTTCTCTTTTGAATCTGGCTGGCCTCCAACGATAGCCAAGAATTCCGCTTCCAGTTCACCATCATCCACCTGATTGTTGTTCCTCATCCCCTCCGGAGAGCAGTCCACTAGCAAACCCATCTGGAGAGGATAAAAGACAAACCACAAGTCAGTGGGCTCCCAACAGGCAACAAGAGGCAGTAGTATGTAGTGCTTAGCTCATGGGACATTGCATAAGGAGCCCTGAATTCTGCTCTCAGCTGATAGAGAAGCGTCATCTGATGGTTAGACCAAGGGATAAGAAAGGGGCAGGTTTTTCCTTCCAGCTTCGGGCTAAGAACAGAAGAGTGACCATACTGGGTCAAACCGTCCAGCCCAGTATCCCATCTTCTGACAGCGGCTGGAGCCAGAAGCTTCAGAGAGAATGAACAGAGCGGAGAAATTATTTAGTGATTCATCCTCTGTTGTCCAGTCCCAGCTTCTAGCAAACGGAGACGTGGGGACATCCAGAGCATGGGTTATATCCCTCTCCATCTTGGCAAACAGCCACTGATGGACCCGTTCTCCATGAACATACGAACGGCCGGACGGGGTCAGACCAAAAGTCCATCTCGCCCAGTGTCCTGTCTGCCCACAGTGGCCAATGCTAGTGGGAGTGAACAGAACAGCATTAGAATAAGCATTGATGGACCTGTCCATGAATGTATCTAGCTCTTTTTAGAACTCTGGTGAAGTTCTGGTCTTCACAACATCCTCTGGCAAGGAGTTCCATAGGTTGATATGCACTGCATAAAGAAAAACTTCCTTTTGCTTGTTTTAAACCTGCTGCCTATTAAACTTTTACCTGTTTTATTTTTCAAACCAGTTAAGCTTTCGGCCTTCCCATTTTTGCCACTCTGTGGCAATGAGCTCCAGAGGCTAACTGTGCATTGTGTGAAGATGTACTACCTTCTGGTCCTTTTAAATACGTTGCCTATTCCATTCATTGGGCGATCCCTGGTTCCTGTATTATGGGGAGTGTGATCTCACGGTTAGAGCACGAGGCCATGAGACAGAACCCTAGGGTTCCATTGCGTGGGCAGGCCACACCACCTCCACGTGCCAATTTGCCCACTGAAAGTAAAGCTACTAGGGTAGCTACTGACACTGCTAAGCATGGCACAGCTTAACGTACGTTCCTCATAAGAGACGAGCTACAAGAGCGCCATCCTATTACTCCCCTCATTCTTTATTACAGCTTTCCCTAACATGCATCTTGCTGTTTGTACGGTGGAGTGCACCTACTGCATTATCTCCTACAGAGATCGCTGCACAGATTTAATTGCAGGTGTGTCCGTGCTTTTATAGGAGTGTTTGGTTTGCTCCTCCCAACATGCTCCCTATACCTGTCCATGCATGGAATTTGACCCAATCCCTGCTGGCGGTAGAAGCAAGCATCAGGGAGGAGGGCAGCCTTCAACCGAGACAATGCGGGGCAGGGTAATACAAATCCTATTTGCATGCACCATTATGTAAAAATCCCTGACAGATGGCAAAACTCAACCCTAGACCACCTCCTGGTAGATTACTAAAAGAACGGCTAATGCAAGCAGTGCAAACCTTCAGAAGGCCTGAAAATGGGGAAGCCGCATGTGATCCCCTCATCCTCCGAGCTGAAGCACAGTCAGATAAGTTGTGTGGTAGATCAAGGTTTTATAGCCAGTAACATTGAAAGTCTCACCAATTAACAGATCACACAGTCATTTTATTGAGTGTAGGACTGGAGGGAAGGGGGAGGGTTAATACATTATCTTCACCTAAGTGGATTCTAAAGGCATCATCTGTCTGTCTGCCACAAAGCCCTTCCCGGCACAGGAAGAGAGGGAAGGCTATTGCCATCTGTCACTGGACAGTCTGTCCTCCACAGACTTGCACAACAGCTCGAATTTGTGTGACAATTTGACATTCTTAACATGCTCCTCCAGCAGACAGGTACCTCCATGAATAACTAGGTGAGGTGCCAGACAGCAGAACTAGTTACCGTGATGTGTGTAGGTTCCTACCCAGAAAGTGACAGCCGGCTTGCCAGCCTGTCTACCTTTTCAGCACATAGCTAAGTTCAGTAAAAAGGGGGCAAAAGAAAAATCTACAGAAGCTGAATTACCCACATCCCCTGATACAAGAAACCTGGAATAATACCCAGCTTTAACCGCCACCAACTGGATGTTGCAGGATGCTGGATCCCATTAACGTAGGATGTATGACAAGACATCACATTTTATTCCTCATTAGTCAAGAGGAGCAATCAAATCCCCCCCCATTAGACTGGCACATGTGCTTCAAACCGAAGAGTGAGCTTTGAAATGTTAAATGGATTGTCTGACACTTGCAAAACAAATACAAAACCCAAGAGTTAACACCATTCATTTTAAACATCTTAGCAAAATCCTAAATTCTCTTCCTGAAAATAAACCAATTGCCTGACCATGCCAGTCGCTATCAGAAAGGAGACCAGCAGCTCACATAAACCTGCTATGCGAATCTGAAAGTTAAGAAGGAGAAACAACTCAAAATATCACCCTGCCTGTTCGCAGAGACTGAGAAACCTCACACTCTAGCTCATTAGGTAAACACAAATGAAAATTAACACCGGGAATTCTGCATCATGAAGCTAGGATAAAAGACACTGTGCCTTAAGGAAATGCCATAACACCATTTTAAATCCCACACAATAGGGTTTTTTGTTTGTTTGTTTACTTTTCATTCCACATTGTGTGCCCACACAATAGGGTTTTTTGTTTGTTTGTTTGTTTACTTTTAATTCCACATTGTGTATTAGAGAGACAATGGAAACAGAAGAGTCACTCCTTCTCATCCGGTCCCCCATCTTTGTCCCAAGGGGCTAGGGCGGAGGGGAATGATTGTTTACTTCTATTGTTCCTAGTTTGTCAGTTTTCCTGATTTGATTTCTAAGTGACAGCAAATATGATTCCCACCATGGGATGGAGGCAGAAGCCACTTGGGTTACAATCTGGCCAATGTTCCCACTGGCAAACCAGTATGTTTACCATAAGGCAAGCGGGACAAAAATGTACCCACAATGCAAGAGCAATATTATTAACAAACAACAATTTTTCATCTCTATAGGACTTCTCATCCTAAAGGAGCTCAAACTTTACAAACTGCAGGCCGGAACCTGCGCCTGCTGAAGTCAAAAGTAGCAGGGTTGGGGCCTTTATACACACAAAGGTTACTTCATAGATGGCTTATCTGGGGCAGGACAAGGGGGAGCAGCCATAGGGATTGGGGGGATTCTGACAACAGGACAACAATATTTTTTACACCAAGAACCTCAAAGCAGGTCTGAAGGGAGAGGTGTTTCCTCACACAGACCAGGGAGAAGCAAAAAAGGAAACCCATGACTCACCTGTCTGGCTCTGGCAGCACCACTGCCTGGTGGTGGAGGCGGCCTCCTGTTCTTGTTCATTTCTTTTTTTCTCCCCCCTCAGATGCAACTGAAAGGAGTCAGTGCATTGGGTCAAATGGAGCTGGATGGTTACAGTGGGATCACACAGCCATTGTCTCTGTGTTTCCACATCACCCATCCCTAGCGCACACACACAGGGCAGCTTGGCTAACTAACCTCATTCCGTCTCCCTCACCTAACGCTTTCTTCTTCCCCCCCTTTTCCCCTCATCCTACTCTAACTTCTGCATCCACCCTACATTCCCCCTTGTAAGAACAGCCAGACTGGGTCAGATCAAAGGCCCATCTAGCCCAGTGTCCTGCCTTCTGACAGTGGCCAAGGCCAGGTGCCCCAGAGGGAATAAACAAAGCAGGTAATACCACCCCATACACCTCCAATGCTCCCTCTCCTCCCAAGAGTGCTCACCTGCTAAGAGCTGTCCCACAAATCCCTAACCCAGCACAAACACTTCCCAGATCCTAGCTTCCCTCTCACCCAAGGAGATGCATTGCGTACCATTCTCCTTGCCCTTGAGGTCCCTCTCGCTCCCTATTCTAATGCCTCTCCCCACAGAAACCACACTCTGAAGCGCCACACTGTGGGGCTTACTGTCCCTAAGACTACTCCTCCCATGCCCAGGGCTTCTGCCATGACCACCACCCGGCTTCTCCAACACAGAACCCTCCCAGCTCCCAGCCCCTCCCCCCGGCACCCTGACCCCCCCCAACCCAGAACCCAAGCGCCACACTGTGGGGCTTACTGTCCCTAAGACTACTCCTCCCATGCCCAGGGCTTCTGCCATGACCACCACCCGGCTTCTCCAACACAGAACCCTCCCAGCTCCCAGCCCCTCCCCCCGGCACCCTGACCCC